CAGTCACTGCACACATTTAACCTCTTTATTACAACTCTGAGTCCAAACAAGCCTCGAGCCTGAGAGGAAGGCGGAGGAGCTGGAGGAGCCCCCTCCTGCTGTGTGGAGACAGCACCAACCGAAGCCGTTTGTATCCTTGTATCCTCACTTTCAGTGTTTTCCTTCATCGTCTTCCAGCGTGAAGCCGTGTCCCGCCTGCATCTGTGGCTCTGCATCACGAGGTCACTCAGCTGCCTTTGTGTCAAACTATCAGATAATTATTTTGCTGTTAACAGCAGGAGCTGCGGGGACAGAGAGGGAGGATCCTCCTCGACTGTCAGGACGGAGGAAAAGGAGGTGAAGCACGAGGAGAAACCAGGAAGACAAAAAGGTGAAATCTGACCATCGTGACATCTGAGACGTTTTATAGACAACAAATAAAGACTGCACGTCCCTCAACATGAACGTCTCACTGCTCTGTGCCCACATCAAGTTAAATAAAGTTTTTTTTAAGTTGAACTTCATCCTACCCGCAGCGCTCCACCAGTGAACGAGCCGAGGACTTACAGGATGGACAGACGGTCTGCTGTCTTCAGTTTTTACATTTAGAAAACAAACACAAACAAACAGTATAAATGGAGAAGAAGAAGCTGGAGGCGGGAGATGAAGCCCTCCCTCAGCAGCGCCTCTCCTGGGAGCCGATCGCTTCAAAGCCGCCTCGCACGAACGCAGCTCTCACCTGCATCCAGCAGCTTCTTCACCACCTGGAAGTTTGAGTGTGAAACGCTGTAGTGCAGCGCCGTGTTGCCGTTGCCGTCGGCCATGTTGACGATGTGGCGCAGCACGGCGGGAGAGAAGTCGTGAAAGCTCCCAGGTAGTCCTCCACCATGGCCGCCACCGCCGCCTTCTGACTGGACACGCGGAACCACTCGTGCTGCACCGTGTTGAGACAGCCTCTCTGCACAGACAGGAAGTGACCATCAGCACGCTGACAGGCAGATTTAGCCAAAGGCCCAGCTTTGGGTGCACAGTGGGCGTGTCACACTGAATCCACCGTGATGACTGGTCAGCGCTGCGCTCCAAACCACGTTTCATGACATCGTTTAACAAACAGCTGATCAGATTCCTCACCAGGTCTTTGTTGGTCACAGCCTTGGAGTCACTGAGGTGCAACTTGAGAACGTCGCATGCAGCCAGCATCTTCTCGCTCAGCTCGTACCTTTGAGTCGAGGTCAAACAGACGTCATTCTTCTAATAGCTTCAGCCTCATCCTAACACAACTGATCAAATTTACAGACAGAAAAATATCATCATGATTTCATCTTCTTTACTCGCCTCTCTCTCGTCTCCTGCTTCTCTGAACTTTCCTCGTCATCCTTCTTGTCCACGTCCTCTGCTCCCTCGGGCTGGAACTCCTCCCTCGTGCTCTGCCCCTCCACTTTCTGGTGTTCCTCCTTTCCTCCGTACCCCTCCTCCTCCTCCTCCTCGTCCTCTTCGTCTGACCCAGAGGAGCTGCTGTCCTCTGAGCTGGAGTCGTCACTCGACGTAGTCTCGTATCTGCGCCACGAGGGGGCGACAGAGGTGCAGAAACAAAGATGTGAGTGCAGATCAGCAGCTCGGGTTTCATATTTGCGAACAACACTAACGAGCTCGTGAGGCTCGGCGTCGACACAGCTGAGCAAACGTGAGCCCTGCCACCTTTGACCTCAGCCGGGACACAAACACTGAAAAACTCTCACGCTGCAAACTTCTGATTAAAAACATTCTCACCCTCCGTTCACCCCGACGAACTGCAGGTTCTTCTTCGTGCCGTTGGAGTCGGCTCGGCCGTCTTTCTTCTTCATGAT